CTGTTAATTAAGAACATAAGCCCTAGTTCTATATGTACCCAGCCACCCTAGCAAGGTTCTGATAGCTTCTGCAATATAAGGTGAAGAAACCCATTAGAGGGCTCCTAAACTATTTAATGGGATATTTTAAATAGTATCCCAATTCCTGTACACTACAGATATATTTATTTTTCAATAAGCTTAGAATACTTCTGTGTTGTCATGGTAAGACAGCATTCAGCTCCAGCATCAATAATGCTCAGAACAAGAATGTCAGAACCAATGTGAGGGTGTAATTACATGTTAGAATTAGCAGGTGCTAATTCTAAGGAGTGTTAGTCTGTGTTAAGGTTAACTAGTGCTAGTCACACAATCAGGGTTAATACTCCCTCTAAAATGTACTGTTTCCCATTCAGTTGCAAGGCCAGCAGGAACTGGATTGGAGCATTCAGGGCTGGCGTGGTCTACAAGAGCAGGCAGGAAGATGGAACCCACTCACCAGCACCTTTGCCGCTCTCAGGCTGATCAGGGTGGCAGGGCAATGATGTGGGGGTCAGGGGGATGATGCAGGGCAGAGGGGGCAACTGGGGTGGCAGGAATCTGGGGACAAAGGGGGTGTTTTGGAGGACAAAGAAGCCATCAGGTCCCCACCCACTCAACTCACCACTTCTCTCTCTTGCTTCCCCACTCCAATCCTGACCCCCCTCAACCCTTTCCAATGTTCCCCTCCCCTGGCTCCTCCACCCACCCCACTTCACCCCCACTGTTCCCTCCTTCCCCACTCAGCCCATCCCCACCCACCTGTTGCCTGCCTGTTCCCCGCTGTCAGTCCAGGGCCATATGGTCCTGGATGATAGCTAGTCCACCTGGGAGCAGTGCCTCCTGGGATATTGGAGGACTGCAAATTGGTGGTTTTATCTCAGGTGAACACCCGGAAGCTAATTTAACTCAAATTAGGTAGCACAACTGAAAGATAATCCCTGCCTGAACTGGCATAACTTTGAAATGGGCACTTAGCACTTCTTAATGGCCCTTACTTCATGTTTTAAGTGCTCCTTACATGATCTAATTGTAATGTGTAATCTCACCCTAATACTAACTAAAGTAAAAACAAATTAATGATAGTGATTACATTTTAAAGACGAAATCCATTATTGTAATCAATTACTTCAAATCTAATTACATACAACTGTTTCCTGTAAACAATTATATAAACAGGCCCGGCTATGCAACGAGTGTTTAAAACAATATTGGTAATCTATATTTTTTCCTTGGGAGGATTATTATTTCATATGACACTACTAGGCAAAAACATTGAGCAAATCTCTATTAGAGAATTGCAAAAGGAATTTGTGATTAGAATTATCTAATAAAAGAATTTCAATAAAATATTTCTTGGATTGGAAAATGGAAATATTTAGGAATTCAGTCTACTACAATATGTTCATGTTATGATTTAGAAAGTATTATCTAATAGATTATTTACTGATATTCAGTTTTATGAAGACTGATACTATCACACCAAGTTAAGGACTTTCAAAATACTTTGCATTGCAGTGATCAATAAGGCATTAGGAGGGTTGTATAGTGAGAAAAAGATCTGACTTTCTGATAATGGTATTCCTCAAAGATTTGTACTTTACAATAGTTATGTATATTTTAAAAAGGGAAATACAATCCTAATATTTTTGTCTTGGAAGTTGTAAACGGGTTTTGGAATCACTTTGCAATATTGTATTATACATTATTGCTTTTAAAAGTTGGATTTTTTTATTGACTTGGTACAGTAACCATTTAGTAAAACATTTTGGTCTGCGTTGGGTAATTCAGACTACAAGAGTCAGATTAAAACAGCAGGGTTGCCAACTGTCTGTAAATTTACAGACAGTCCATAAAAATGGCTAGAAATGCTTGTCTGTAAAGTGCATAAAAACTGAGCTGCCTGTAACAAACTAAAAAACCATGAGCTTGATTGAAGATCTATCATTGGACTGAGGCTGGATGCAAGTGTTGATAGACAAAGCAGAGCAGCACCACCTTGTGTCTGAGCAGAAGTACAACTCTAGGTTTCTGGGTGGGGCCCTGAGCCAAATTAGAAACTTGATATTAAACTCCTAAATTTGAGCCTGGCCCTTGTTACTGCCATCCAGGGCCTGACTAAAGGGTTACATGTACATCATGTAAAATGTATGTCAGTAAAAAAATTGCAGATTGTCAATAAAAAAGAAGTCTTGGGTTGACAATCCCATCTGCAAAACTTTGTGTAAATTTGATAATAATTATAATATGAGAAGAAGTTCACGTGGGGCTATAGGCATTTTAACCAGCAAATGAGATGTAACTATTTAGACTGAGGTATTTGTGAGCTACACCAACTGATATTGTAATGCTCCCATCATATTAGCATAATAACAGCATCAGAGGACTGCTCCTATCACCACTGTAAAACACACATCCAGTATCACTAGGGTGGCCATCATACTGCGCAGTCCAGTTGTCCTCTGTCCTATATTGATACGAAACCAGATGCCTATTTTTCTCTCCAAGAGAAAAATAGAGGACAAGGACACTAGGTTTTATATCAATAGAGGACAGAGGATAGAGTAGCAGAAAACCAGAATGTCCTCTATGATGGCCACCCTAATTATCACAGATATCATAAAGTCCACATTATATCTCAGCATTCTTAAAATCACAGACGTACACACATGCCTTAGACTGAACTAACTATTCAATGTTTCAGCACGAGCAACAAAATAGATTGAATCTGAAGTTTATATGCCATGCCAGTCTTATAATTACATTCTGAAAAATAAAAAACAAAACAAAACAAAAAACCCTGAGCTTCCTGGCTAGGGTATCTTGCTCTTCTGCTTAGGGTCACACTGGGTGCATCTACATGTGCAATTCACATGTAGCAATAAACTCTGGCACAGTTTGCACCACAGTCAGCTGCTCCTGGGCACAGCCTCTTTACGTGCACCCTGGACCTCAGCTGTTTGTGCCAGGCCAGAGCAGCTCCAGGCTGACAGGGCCCAGAGGGTCAACCCCTGGCTCCAGGTGGAAGCAGCAGGCAATGGAGGAGCTGGCTGGGACACGAGCATGCGAACTGGCAGGCAGTCCCTGAGCTGTAGCATTCTCATGCCCCAGCCAGCCCTGGTCACAGTCTACACGGGCATTTGAGCACATACAATTACTCCACTGTAGGAAAGTACTTGTCCTAGACAGTACTGACTTATGGTGGAGTTAATTAATTTACTGCACCCTAATATGGGCTCACATGTAGACTGTGATGCTTTACTGGAGAGCTAATTAATCAACTCCACAGTAAAATTTGTGTAGATGCACCCGCTGATCACTAAGTTTGGGCTCAGGAAGGAATTTTTCTCCTAGACAAAGAAAAAAGGTTGGCATGGACAGTGGAGGTTTGCCTTTCTCGGTAGCATGGTCATGGTCTTTTTTTATAAGATCATTGGAGAACATACCAACTACTTCCCTCTCATTGCAATGAAAGAGCATTGGTAATCATCTCCCCTGATTTTATATCTGCAGCATCTTAGAGGGTGTTCCTGGAATTTCAGATTTTATCCCTTTTGGGTAAAGGTTTGAAGTAGCGATTTTGAAGATGTCTTCAGTTAACTGCTTGTGAACATTACAGGCTGAACTCTATAACCCAGGAGGCCACTTCTAGGCCTATGTTCCTAAAACAAAAAGAACTTTCAAGGACTTTTGAAAAGTAAATTACCCTGACTTTTCACATTATAAATGCCTTGTCTGGTAACTGCATCCTATGAACACTTTCCCTAAAATATCTCATTGGGCTAAGGATTTCATTTAATAAATGTCAGACAAATTACTACTGATTTGGCGAAAAAGAGGAGAGGTCAAAATGTTATGCTATAACAATTGGTTAAATCATTAATGCCAGAAAAAATGATCCCCCCTCCCCTCCAATATATATATATATATATATATATATGTATTAGTAGTATAATGTTTGGTATGCTGAATACTTTGTGTAAGTGAATAAACCAGCAATCAAATTGCATTTTAATGAGGTGAATAGTTTAGCTCCAGGGTTCAAAATACAGGGTGGGGGGCTTCCAGCTACCACCATCGCAGACTTCCCCCTTCCCCCCCCCACGAGTTCGAGTGTAATTCAAACCCTGTTTAGCTCTCTTTTTGTGTTAGTACCTAAAATGTATATGAAAGAAAATCTATTCCCTGCATTTTCAAGATAATGTGTTGGGGTTTTTATTCACATACATGTGATTGATAATTTACTCTTATATGGCTTTATTGTAAACAATAATATTGATAGTGTTAGATGTCTTTTCTGTGCACTAGTTTGAATATTCTGAAATTATTCCACATGTATTTTGACATTTCCATTTATTTGAAGCTCAAAAGTTGATTTGGCCCTTTTAACTGGTTTTCACCAAACAATTTATTTCTCTAGTTTTAAGATAACACATTTTAGAAGTTCTGGTTTTGGAGGCTTTAGAATCATTGGGCATTGTTAGGAATTTCTGCCTGATCGCACCATATATTGAATAAAGTGAGCATACAAGAACATTTCTAAAAATGCTTGTATCACGAGTTTACTGAGGTTGCTAGATTATGTCTATGAAGTTGCCTAATGTTTAAATAGTCACATGTTAACAGAATTACTTTGGACTGTAATCTTTGGGTTATGATGAAAATCTGAAGATAACAAGAATAATAAATGAAAAAAGTCTATTATGAAAATATAAAGGGATCTGGCAAGAGTAATACAATATGAATATGTCTGAGACTGTCCCGTGAATGAATCAGCAAAGACTGCATAAGTATCTATAGGAGAAATGTTATGGATAGAGAGAATGACTAGCTGTTCCTAGGTGCTGTTACAGCAATGGAATCCCTTTGCTTAATATTCTCCTGTCCAATGAGGTGGAATGTTTCACAGGCACATGGTTTTTGCTGCTTAAAATAACTTGGGACCTGCAAACTGACAAATGCTATTGCTCCGGTGGTGACAGGTTGTCTAGCTTCTTACAGCCATCCTCACTATAACTAAGGTTTAACTCCTTTTACCCGATGGACTTGAAGTTGCTTCTGTTCCTAAGGACCTGAAGAATTCCCGTGCCTCCATAAACTTTAATCTTATACTTCTGCATAATTGTCATCACAACTGAGTGCCAGGGTTGGACACCAACATCTGGAGAAACTGAAAAAGGTAATGTCTTGACTTTAGATCTATACTGTGTTTTGATAACACTGCACAGGTGCGCAGAGGATGAATGAACATGTATATCTGAATGCTAATTATTGCTGATAAGACATATATACAGAGAGCAGATCGCTTTTAAACCATCTGACTTAAATTACACTGATGTGTGAGTTAGAATGAAAGAGAAACAATGTCCCGCAGAATCATAGAAGTTGGATAGGATTGGTGGGGTTCCCAAGTTCCCTCAGAGCCTGTTCACTTCGCATAGAGTCAATAACAGATAATAATGACAGGAGTATTGCATTGCTAGGATTTTACTATCCTCCACCCTTTAACCATATATTAAAATAATTACAGTGTAAAATCCAGCCTTTAGTCAATATTCTTTGCATTTCCTTCTTAAAGAAAACCGAGACTAATTTAACATGACGCCTGGTTAAATGCTTTCTTTTTAATTTGTTTTTGTCACGTAAACTGACACTTCTGGCTATATTTAGTGTTGGGAGATCTGCTCCCTGGATTAACGTACACAACAGCTGCAGAAACAGTCCTGCTAGAAGGGCACTGCTCTTCCCCTTGCTCTCTCTCCTACTTTCTCTCTGCCTCACTCAAAGTTATTTGACTGTCAGTGGCAAATGTTTGGCCCAGTATATTGCTACATTAAGCAGTAATTAGAAGTACATACAATTTATTTTAAATAATACATAAACGTCTTTAAAGAGAGTGGAGTGGCTTTTGAGTTCATCTCTGTCACAAGAGAATCATGCAAATTATGTTAAGGGAACTAGATCATTTATCAGCAGATTTCTGTTCCTGTCATTAGGTTGAAATATACTAAGAAGTTCTTGGGTTTGTAAACTAAAACAAAATCAGCAAATGTTAAAGGATCTAGTTTCATAAACTTCAACTCTATTTTATTCCTTCCCCCCCCCCCCAAAAGTTTCACAGGGTCAAGATAGATTTTCTTTCCTCTTTCTTCACAGTGCTATCAAAATTAAATGAAAGGAAATGTATTTGTATTGATAACCAAAAGTAACTACTTATGTGGGTATTAAAAAGTCTTCTTCAGCAATAAGTTCAGCAGCAAGTATTTTTATCCGGTAGGCTGTCACCATTAAACCAACAACAGAACACAGTTCAGTACCATCTGCAGTCTGAGGTTTTGTTCCTGTGCATTCTTTCAGTGTTTTACAGTAGTTTGCTCTGGAACTGAAGGAATGTTTGTTGCCAACAGCTGACATTTAGAATTAGCAGGCTATGTACGTTTTTATAAGTAATATTATATTAAGATCATGTGTTTTAAAAATTACTTAGAGCCAGAAAGCCATAATGCTGTTATTGAATCAAAGACCACCAATCATAGTCTAAGTGATTAGCAAATCAACAGCATACCAATATGAATCAGTTTATTATGCTAATAAACATTTCATATGTTATGATAATAAGCAATCTAGCTACAGGCTCATTTTGTCTATTTTCAAACCCATTCAAATGTCATGGTTTGAAGGTGTGATTTGAAGTTGGGTGTCTGTGATTTAAGTTTCCTTAGGAAAGACTTAAAAAAATAAGGTGAAAAAGGCAGAATACAGCAGACAGAGAAAAAAACAAATATAGTGAGATTCTGAAAAAAGGAGAGAAAAAAGATAATGAGAAGAAAATCTGAAGAAAAAAAAAACAGATCTCTTCTCTCCCTAATAGTGCTCAGATTTCTTTTTTTCTAGAAAATATTGTTTTATTCTCTTATCTTAATATAGCATAAATTTAAATTACACGATTAAAAAAATTCTGATAACAATAAGCTTTTTTACCCAAAAGAATATGATAGCAAGTTTTCAAGGTGTCATATACCACTCTGCTTGCCCATCCTTCCTATAAGACAGTGGACAAAGCTCAGCCTTCAGATATGCCTATGAACTTGAGTGCAGTCAATCACCTTATGTGTACACCAGTGTAACAGCTCAGCATGTGATTTAAGTAATGTAATTAGGATAAAGTACTGTATTTGGGGTCTTAATCTGCCATTTTAACAGTGAACATATGCACTATATTTCTTTTTTTTTTTTTTAACACTGAAGTCCAAGGTCTACCTCCAGGCAAGATGTGAGACTATAGCTGTCCTCAGCGCCAGACATAGTGCCACTGGCAGAAATAATCTAAAGCAGGGCTGTAAAACTCATTGGGCCCCACAGGCCAAAATGAGGAGCTTCTCAGAGGCTGGATCTGAACCTCAGAATTTTTCAAGGGCCAGACAACCTGGGAACAGCAGTGAAGGCATTAATCCCTAAGGCTGCAGGAGCTACTGTTCTGATGTGATGATCGAACCCAAGGAGTTCTCGCTTCTGCTTCTGATCTCCTCTTTTCCCCATCATCAGTTTTAGTCATCAGGGATAATTAAAAACCCTGATTTTAATGGCAGGCTGGGTGTTTGTTGAGAGGGAGGAGAAGCCTTAATTCCCTGAGTTCTGTAGCTGCACTGAAACAGCAGGGATTAACACTGCCACTGCAGGGACTCTGGCAGCCTCAGCAATGACTCCCATAAAACAAATCTATCCTATGGTTGTGGGTTGTCTAGCCCGTAAGAAGTGCTGCAGGCAATATGTTACATACCCCTGATCTAAATGACTAGAGTACATAGGATTGAACCTAAATCAGGCCAAAAATTCAATAAAACATATGGACCAGAATCCTGTCTCTTCATGTCTGAGTAGGAGCCAAAATAAGAATGAGAAGTTTTGTGCCTCATAGTGCTTTTCCAGTTACAGATTTTTGTAAGTACACATGGCACCAAATTCCACTCCAGTTTTCATCCAAGTCTTTGAAGTTCATACAAACTACAGTATGAACAATTTGTTCCCCCCTGCTTTACCTGTGGCAGGCTACGGTGTTATGCCTTGTGCTTGTGTCAGGGTTAACTGTGTAGTTTTGCTAATACGTTAGACAATGGATGTATATAGGGTGATTTGGATTGGGATGATCCTGCCTCTGGCAGAGGGGCTGGGCTAGATACCTCTGGTGGTCCTTTCCAGACCTTTATTTTTCTATGATTGTATGAATTTATATAACTCATTCTTATGTGAGTAATCTTTGAAATATATAGGACTCTACATGTGATTCAGGACTACTAGAGTGCATCTACATGTTGCCCTACAGTGACGTAGTGGCATGCTACGTTGTTGTACAGTGTGCTATGGAGACATAGCAATCACATGGGTATACATGTGATCGCCAGCTACTTTGCTGTAGCAGTATGTTCCCCCAGTATAGTGTGCCGCTACAGTGATGTAGTGGCAAAATCTAACTGCACCTCACACACAGTACAGTAACCACCCATATGACACCATGCTTTAGTACTTCCAAAAGGCAATGTCACTGTACAGCAATGTGTAGATGCGCCCCTAGAGTCAATAAAAGCCTCCAGTATTGCACTGCACTTAGGGCCTGTTCCCAAATCCTTTAAAGTCAGAAGTTCAGACCTCACATCCCAGTAATGAAGGAAGACACCTGCTTGGGGAGGAACACCCCTAGCAGCCCCTTAAGTCAGCAGCCCTAAGCACTTTGTTAGCAGCCTTGTGATATTCTTGCTAATTTGGGTTCAGTTTCAGTTTGATTTTAACTAGTATTGCTCAAAAATGCTGTTTGCTTTGACATCCAAGAAAAGGCCCCAAGGAGGTAAAGATAAGTCAAAACAGGACAAGAAATTGTTTGTTTTTTTTAAAAGCAACACAAGTTTCAACTTCTAAATAAGGAACAGAATTTGCTATGAATGTTAATGATAAAAGTATTTTATCATGAGCACACTGTGATACCACAAGTGTTGTTCCTAGTATATAACAAGATGGAAGACGCATTAAAAAAGAACAACATAGAATAAGGGGAAAAATTATGCACAATATTGCTTCACGGAGGTTTGAAAGTTGTATGTTGCTGCTTAGAGCCCCTGTTGTAGCCTGAGGTAAAGGATCAGATGAATATGTATTCAACTGAAAGACTTAAACGTGAATAGATGTTCAGAGCAGTGCCCTATACCACAACAAAGTAATGTGTTAATGAGGATTTCAGTTTCGTTTGTGGGAGGGTAAAGTCAACATTTTTTTTCTGGGTTGTGCTTGGCTGAAAGTCCTTCTCTTATTAACTAAAGAAACAGAGCTCAACCTGGATAAATATAGATGATTATGTTGATGGAGGAGAGGGGGGGAAAGAGGTCAGGACAAAAGCACTGGATGGAGGGAAGCAAAATCACAGAATCAGAAAAACAGGGGCTGGATGGGACCTCAAAAGGTCATCTAGTCTAACTACCTACTCAAGGCAGGATTGTCATCTGTTTATACCATCCCAGACAAATGCTTGTCTAATCTGCACTTAAAAACCTCCTTTTGTAGATATTCTACACCTCTAGGTAATCTATTCCCATACTTAACCACTTTCATAAACAGTTCTTCCTAATATCTAATCTAAATCTCCCATTGTGCAGTTTACTATTACCTCTAGTCCTGTCCCCAGTGGACACAGACACATCCTATTTGTAATAATCCTTTTTGCATTTGAAGACCATTATCAAATCCCTGCAGCCTTCTTTTTTTAAGATTAATTCATCTGAATTCATCTAACGTTTCTTCATCAATTTTCTTATCACCACACCTATAACACTACAAAAAGCTATAGAAAAAACCCACTATTTTCAGGCAAAACCAGTGACCTTAATTTTCTAATATTCATGCATTTTTTTACCATATTTGTGAAACATAGAACACATCCAGGTAGGGGGAAAGAACTGTGGCAAAAGTGACATAAATTGCTTCAATAGGCAGCTTCAAGGTTCTACTATATGAAAATACATGAGTCTAAATATTAATATTCCCAGCTTTAAATTCTTTGTCAATTTTGGATCCTATTTATAGTCCTGTTCCATAACATAGTAAAACATTAAAAATATATTCTGAAATTAAAATTACTGTTACTGCATGCATGTCTTTTAACAATGTGTATATAGTAATTGAATTGTACAT